GGCAGAATTTTTTGTATTTTTAGTTGAGACAGGGTTTCGCCATGTTGGGCAGGCTGGTCTTGAACTCCTGTCCTGACATGATCCACCCGCCTCAGCCTCCCAAAGTGCTGGGATTACAGATATGAGCCACTGCACTTGGCCCATGCATTTTTCTTATCATAATGGGATTATATTCTATAACAATATGTCATGCACATTCTCCTATTAGTCTTCTGTATTGTTTCTAATTGTTCCAGAGTATTCCATGGCACAAATGTGCCATAATTTCACCAGTTCCCACTGATGGATTTTTAGGTTAGCTCCAATGTTCCCACTATTCTATGAGTAGTGGGATTCTGGCTTCTAACCATGGATGTGACACTGAAGCTTGTTTTCTTGGTATACATGCCCAGAAGTGGAATGTCCGAGATCAAAGCCAGCAGCAAATTATGCCAGTGAAGAATGTGCCCGTTAGCTCTCCCCTCGGGACCTCAAGCCTTAATTATCATCGTGGGTTAGGTCTTACGGCCTGTTTGCTCTGTGCCCAAGATCTTGCAGGCATATTGCTTCATCCTGGAGAAGCTGCTGGAGAATGAGGAAACTCAAATTAATGGCTTCTGCATCATCGAGAACTTCAAGGGCTTCACCATGCAGCAGGCCGCCAGTCTCCGGACTTCGGATCTCAGGAAGATGGTGGACATGCTCCAGGTGAGGCCTGAGCCCTGTCACACAGGAGCCTCCCGCAGCTGGGGAGGCTGCGAGGCTGGGCCTGCTTTCATGGTGCTCGCAGGGACCTGAAAAGTTGGACCACTTTGTGCCACAAAGAGCAGGGACAGCCACAATCCCAACCATAAGCACCTGCGTAGTGACGGACCATTTGCCAAGTATTCACTTTCATTTTTTCATTGACTCCTTGAGAGCATTCTCTCCCTCCTTCCCTGCTTCATTTTTCACACCTGGAAACGAAGGCTCAGAGATTTTAGTGACATCTCAAGGTCACACAGCAATGAAGTGGCAGAGGCCAGACTTGAAGGGGTACCTTTGAGGTGACAGAGATGGTGAAATCCTTATCTAATTCCTGATCTTAGTGAGGATGCCGCTAGTGTTTTCCCATTAAATATGACACTGGCTGTAGGACAGAAGGGTGCACCTGCGTATCTGTGAGTGCATCCTGCCTCTCTTTGAATGTGGATTCAGAAAGAAGTATCAGTAACCCCCTGATAACTCACTCCTATATATGCTGACATGTCAGGGGTCCTTTCTTGGAGCCGTCTTGGATCTGCTGTATGTGTATTTGGGAAAGGAGGTGTGGGAGGTGGAGGTCGTGGGAGGGGCTGATGGACAGTGAGGCATCGTAATAGTGGTCCTGTGGTTTGTCATCGTTTGCAGTCCATTCGGCAGGCAAGCGGGTTGGAAAAAACTCACCAAGGGCCAAGCAAGCCTACTTTCATTTCTTTACCTGATTCCCGGTTTTACTTGCATCGGCAGTGAGAGGATTGGGTCATATGAATCTTGGGGTTTCCTGCCTGCAGTTTGGGGCCACAGTGAAGCCAGGGATCCCTAGTGGCTGGCCTGGAAACAGGACCTTCAGTGGGCCCTTCTCCAGGGCAGCCGTGTGACACTGGAGCAGTCTGTCCTATGCCATGCAGAGAGGCAGCAGGGAAGGAGTGGGAGCCTCTGAGGTCATCGGGGCCACGGGGCACGGGGGTCTCTGTCACTGCAGGATTCCTTCCCAGCCCGGTTCAAAGCCGTCCACTTCATCTACCAGCCATGGTACTTCACCACGACGTATAACGTGGTCAAACCCTTCTTGAAGAGCAAGCTGCTTGAGAGGGTGAGTACATGGGCGGCCCAGACAATGAGACGAGATGGCCAAGGGTGGGGCCTCACCTGAGCCCTCGTCACACTCTACCGTGGTCCTGAGTTATGTGGATCCCATCGACAACCAGCATGGAGACCTGCGGGGAGGGGTGTCGCCAGGCAGCGACTACACACGGTGGTGCTTGGTCCTCCTATCCCTTCCGCCGTCAGCCCTCATCCTCAGGGCACCTCCTCCGGCTCAGCTCTGCCTCCCTTGCTTCCCTGCAGGTCTTTGTCCACGGGGATGACCTCTCTGGTTTCTACCAGGAGATCGATGAGAACATCCTGCCCTCTGATTTCGGGGGCACGCTGCCCAAGTATGACGGCAAGGCTGTTGCTGAGCAGCTCTTTGGCCCCCGGGCCCAAGCTGAGAACACAGCCTTCTGAGGACATCTTCTGCCAGCTGAACTGTAGTTAGCATCCCTGGGCCTCTGAGCTGTCCTGGACCCAAGGCTAAGAAAGGGCTGCTTGAGATGACTGTGGTCCCTCTGGAGTTCCCTACGCCTGAGTGAGCTCAGGGGTAACCCTTGAACAAGAAGTACTGGGGGTAGTTATATTTCCACCCGTCCTTGAAACCTTAAGACAGTAATTTCTGTGCGATGTTGTATTTCAAAGACTCTAGTTTTCTCAATCATTTCCTTTGTAATAGAGTTTTGCGACTTAGGGTCTGAAAACAGGCAGGGAGCCTGGGTTAAAATATCCCCCTACTCACCCCAAAAATGCAATAAAAGAAGATAAAAGAGGGAGGAAATACGCTCAAGTGATTTGACAAACACAGGCTTCTTGGTGGCCTCCAGGCAGGCAGGGGGTTTTCCATGGAGAATTCCAGGGTGGAAGAGGCATGGAAGCCGCCTCATTCAGGCGCAGCGCGACGTGTGTGGGGTGGGCCGGAACTTGGACCTCTTTCCAGGGTGGCAGTCATGCTTCCTCCAACTGTCTGGGAGAGGGGGTTTCTCCACCAAAGGCTGTCTCCTCCAGTCCCCTTGCCTGGATGGAGGGTTTTACTTAGATTTATAAATCGAAGTAAAAGGTGGAGTCTTCTCTGAGCACTCACTCGGTCCTCAAGAGTTAAAGCTCTTTTTCTGTCTGGACTCTCAGGCACTTCATAGTGATGAATTTATACTTTCCAAATCTGCATTTTTTTTTTTTGAGACAGGGTCTCACTCGTCGCCCAGGCTGGATGGAGTGCAGCGGTGCAATCATAGTTTACTGCAACCTCAAACTCCTGGGCTCAAGCAAGCCTCCTGCCTCAGCCCCCCGAGCAGCTGGGACTGCATGCACTGCACCCAACTAATCTTTTACATTTCTTTCTTTCTTTTCTTTTCTTTTTTTTGTAGAGATGAGGGTCTGGCTCTGTTGCCAAGTCTGGTCTCCAACTCCTGGCTTCAAGTTATTCTTCCCATCTCAGCCTGTCAATGTGCTGGGATTATAGGTATGAACCACCATGCCTGGCCCAAATCTGCATATTTTGACAAATATGAATGCTTTGCTTCTGTGGAGTTGGCTTTCCTCAAGTGCTCGGTAATTTTTGAGTGTGCGCTCATTTCTGGAGGTGAGAATCCCTGTTAGATGCCCTGTTTGCTGAGGGTGCTGGTCCCTCTTGGGAAAGTGCTGGCTTCTTCTGGGCATGGGTCTCCTAAGCATTGACAGATACTGTTTCCAAGATGCTACACTCATTTTCCCACGTGGAAACAGACACTGGCTGGCTAGTGGCAGGAGGTGAGGCCTTGTTGTTCCCACCAAGGTGTCCCAGTCAATCATCCCAAGACTTGTCTGCTCTTGCCTGCAGGGTTACCCCCTTCTTTGTGGGTGTGAAGCACCCTTAGTGCTGCACCTACCTTTTGGGGCAGGATATTCCAACTGTTTTCTGACTTTGGATTCAATTCAGTCCTATTATACCTTTGAGAATTTATCTGATCCATGAGAGGTCTCTTTCTTGTTTTTCGGTGAGGCTGTGTACCTGTTCATGTATGTCAATGTGTGTATACGTGTGTGTGTGTGTGTATGTATGTGTGTTTGTGTGTGTGTGCATTTATTTCTTATATACTTTCTTTCACTTTTAGGGTTTGTAGTGTATGCTCATCCCCCAAGAAACTTCTTTCTTTATAACATTCACAGTCAACAATCCGTGGTCATAAAATCCATGAAAATGAAAATGGTATTTACACAGGACTCCTAGGCTGGAGGAGGAATCACGGCAAATTATTATGGGCACAAGGGTAGGAGATCAACCAGTGAGGAGTTTGTCCCCAGAGCTGAGGCTTCCTTTTTGCAAATCAAATCTCACATGGAACCTTGGTATTCAAACCTAAAAAGGGCCAGGTATGTGGCCTGTGCCTATAATCTCAGTACTCTGAGAGGCCGAGGCAGGAGGATCGCTTGAACTTGGGAGTTTGAGATAAACCTAGGCAATACGGTAAAACCCATCTCTATTAAAAATATACACGTTAGTTGCTTATGGTGATGCATGCCTATAGTCCCCACAACTCAGGGGGCTGAGGTCGGACGATCACCTGAGCCCAGGAGATGGAGGCTGCAGTGAGGTATGGTCATGCCACTGCACTCCAGCCTGTACAACAGAGAGAACCCCTATATCAACAAAACAAAACACTACCAATCTAAAAAGAGTGAAGCTGCCCTGGCAGAAGGGGCCTCACCCTGAGAGATCGCTTATGAGCATCTGGAGCTAGGAAGGTATTTCAAGCATGAGAACATGGGTAACTGTCAATGGTGCTTTGGGGTCAAGTGAAAAAGGAAGAGAGACTAGCGTTTGCCAAGGTGGAGGGCCCTAGTGGCCCAAGTGGAGGTGTTGATGGAGGGGGGTGGGGATGAGGCTAAGCTTAATAATTCAAAGGAATGGGTATTCTTGGCCAGGCACGGTGGCTCATGCCCATAATCCCAGCACTTTGGGAGGCCAAGGTGGGTGGATCGCTTGAGGTCAGGATTTGAGACCAGCTTGGCCAAACATGGTGAAACTCTGTCTCTACTAAGAATATAAAAACTAACCGGGCGTGACGGCAGGGACCTATAATCCCAGCTACTTGGGAGGCTGAGGCAGGACAATCACTTGAAACCAGGAGGTGAAGGCTGCAGTGAGCTGAGATTGTGCCACTGAACTCCAGCCTGGGCAACAGAGCGAAACTCTGTCTTAAAACAAACAAACAAAAACAACAGCAGTGAGCTGAGATCACCCCACTGCACTCCAGCCTGGGTGACAGAGCGAGACTCCATCTCAAAAAAGGAGGAGATATACTTCTAATTGCTCCTCAGGACTTGGGTCCCAAATCTGAGGGAAACACCGGTTGGTCCCTGTCCACTGACCCCATCTTCCCTGAGCCCAGAGCTACCAGGCGCCCTCCTAGACACAGCCCAGGCCTGCTCTGAATTTGTGGCAGCTCAGAATGTATCAATGAGATCAGGCACATCCTGACCAGAAGACTCTTGGGGCAGCCTTGGCTCCTACTCAAACCCGCATGGGATGCTGGGATCGTCCCTAAGGTCAGCAGGGCTGGGGCCTTAGCTCAGGGGCCCTGGTTGATAAGAAGACCTAGTGGCTTTCTGAGGAAGAAGTCCTCAGAAATTCATTGGAACTCCGTGAGCCGGCTCTGACTGTGCGCTTGTGCCGCCCCCTGCTGGCCGTGCCCTGGCACTGCCCTTCCAGGGACAAGCTGGGCAGGAGGGTTAGCTGGGTGGGCTGGGCCAGACCTTGCCCCGAGAAGGTGGTATTGCTTTCGGGGAAAAAGTGTCTGAATACTGTGAATGGCAAAACCTGACGTGCTCAGCCTCACAAAAATCCCAGCTGCCTATGTGTGTGATTCCTACAAGGGTCCCCACATTATTGAAGAGAGACAATAAAATACTCTTTTGAAGGACACCAGCCATGGGAAGGAGAACAACAAAACATGAATTTTATGACAACCATTTGGTGCCCATAACAACTTCCCTTCTGGGGATATCTGGGGTGAGGCAGGGATTCTGTCGCATCAAAGTATGGGAGTTGGAAGTTTGCAGCGATGCATTTCTGCCATGGGAATGTGGACGTTGGGAGAATGCAGGCAATTCATCAAGCTGTGGGTGGAGGTCTCAGGAAGGGGAGACAGGTGCCAGCTTCAGAGAGCCTCTCAATGAAACTGCCATGCCTTGGGTTTACCCAGGGGAAAGTGGAGGAGGGTGGTGCTGCCTGGAGGCCTGGCAAAGCCTTACTGGAAGAGGTATGCCTTTCTCTTAACTCAAACTAGCAGGAAAAGAGGTGAAGCAACACCTCACAGGTGAAGTGGAACACCTCTGATCCCACTTTTTTTTTTTTTTGAGATGGGGTCTCACTCTGTCACCCAGGCTGGAGTGCAGTGGCATGATCTTGGCTCACTGCAATCTCGGCCTCCTGGGTTCAAGCGATTCTCCTGCTTTAGCCTCCCAAGTAGCTGAGATTACAGGCGCCTGCCCCTACACCCAGCCAATTTTTATATTTTTAGTAGAGAGGGGGTTTCACCATGTTGGGCAGGCTGGTGTCAAACTCCTGACCTCAGGTGATTTGCCTGTGTCAGCCTCCCAAAGTGCTGGGATTACAAGTGTGAGCCACTGCGCCTGGCCTCTGATCTCACTTTCTGTTGGAGGCTTGGCTCTGGAGTTTAGGAAACTCAGAAGTGTCAGATCTGGAAACTTGTGGGATCTCCTGGAGCCTCACTACTCAAAGTGTGGTCCAAGGAGGGCTGGCCCCTCCCCATGGGGAGCTCCAAGGCCACATCTCAGACATGCTGCATCAGAATCTGCTTTAACAAGACCTCCAGGAGTGTGCACATTAAACAACCAATCAGGCCAGGCACAGTGGCTCATGCCCGTAATCCCAACACTGGCAGGCTGAGGAGGGATGACTGCTCAAGACCAGGAGTTTGAGGCCAGCCTGGACAACACAGCAAGACTCTGTTTCTACACACACAAAATCAACCAAATGCAGTGGCGTGAGCCTGTAGTTTTAGCTACTAGAGAGGGTGAGGCAGGAGGATCTTTTTTTTTTGAGATGGAGTTTCACTCTTGTTGCCCAGGCTGGCATGCAGTGGCACAATCTTGGCTCACCACAACCTCCACCTCCTGGGTTCAAGTGATTCTCCTGCCTCAGTCTTCCGAGTAGCTGGGATTACAGGCATGTGCCACCACGCCTGGCTAATTTTTTTGTGTTTTTAGTAGAGATGAGGTTTCTCCATGTTGGTCAGCCTGGTCTTGAACTCCCAACCTCAGGTGATCCACCCGCCTCGGTCTCCCAAAGTGCTGGGATTACAGGTGTGAACCACTGCGCCCGGCCTTAGGAGGATCTCTTGAGTCTGGGAGTTCGAGGCTGCCTGAGCCATGATCATACTACTGCTCTCTTATTAATATGGGCAACAGAGTGAGACCCTGTCTTAGAAAAAGGGGGGGGGGGCAGTCAATGCTTACAGAACAATGGCTGTCTACCTCCCAGCAAGTGGCTCAAATGTGCCTTGCTTAAACCCAGTATGTTGACATACGGAGGTTAGGATACGGAGGAACTCACTCTAGTAAGGATTCATATCTATGGGTTTAAAGGCAAACTTTGCATGTGAGCAGAGAACAGAGAAGAAGGCTGCAGGAGCCCTTGGGAAGACCACAGCTGAGAGGTTAATGTTCTAGAATAAGCAAGTTCTGCTGTGGGGCTGTGCCTGGAAGTCGCCTTGCCAGTAGGCAGGACATGTAGTACACCTGGATTTCCCAAGGTGACCACATATGAAGGAAAAGGATCAGGTTTGATGGTGCACACACGTGGCTCGTCAGCACTTCTGAGCCCAGAAATGTTTTTGGAAAGTATAACCAGGCTGGGCTCTGCTTTCCTCGCAGCCCATCAGATGCCCTGGTGTGGAGCTGGACCACGTCAAACACTTTGCTTGTAGTTTCTACCTTGGAGATGATGTATGAGTGGGAACCAAACAGATAAAGCCAAAATCACTGCCCAAAGTAACATGGGCACTTTGAAAAATAACATCTGAACCTCTCACTTATCCTGAGGTAGGCATTCTTAGTATAATTATTCCCACTGGAAAATAAATAACAATCTGAGGTTATGTCCTGCTAGAAATGGCAAGGACAGGACCCTGGCCCAGCAACTCTGGCTCCAAATCTCTTTGGCTCTGTTACTACTCACCCTTTGTCTCCAATGTTTGTTTTATTTATTTCTGGGGGCGGGAGAGGTAAAGGCAGATAAGGGAGGAGAAACAATGAAATGAGAACTTCATGTATTTCCAGGTCAATTTCACCAACTATCATCAGATGAGGAGGCAATGACTTTAGGAGGAAACCAGTCTTCAGTAGAGATGCTGGGATAAATGTGGTAGAGAGCATGAACCAGAAGGAAGCTGTGGGTGGCACACAGCCACATGGAGAGAGGTGTTTAATTTATCTTCTTTGGGGAGGGGTTCGCCAGTTCAAAGCCAAATTGCCTGTCATGTCTTTCAACCACTCAGATACACGGTAGCACTTTTATGTCCTCCTCTAAAGACACCCAAGAGAGAAGTGAGGAGGGGAGGCTGTCATATACAGGACCATCCAGTTAGGTGTTTGATCCTCACCATGGGAAAGTACTCCCTACAGGACTAGAGCAGAGAAGCCTGTTAATGAAAAGCATAATTAACAAACAGTATGACTGGGGCGGTGAGTGAGGGGTCAGTGAACACAAATGCTGTGGGGCTGCCTCATGAGAGGGCAGCTGTGTGCTACTGGCCCTACATGACCGCATTAGCATGCGGCTGGCACTGACCTGCCTAATGCCCCGGACCTGAAATCTCTTCCATGCAGTCTTTTCATAGGTAGTATTCTTTGCAAGTTGGTTTTCTTGGGCCAAAATAGTCTGGTTATTTTGTGGGGGATAGGAATTGAGGGGAAGCTTGCTTACCAGAGAGGGATGAATTTTGAAATTTGGCATTGGCGATTTCTAGGTCTTGTTAATGCACAACTTCTAAAGCTAACACTCCTGACCCTGCCTAACTTGACAAAGGTTTTGTGTGGCCAAGGAGGGAAGGGAGCTGTGAGCCTAAGTCTCTTGGGGTGGTACAACCCTCCTGGTTGAGACAGTGCCTGCTCCTGGGAGACCCTTAGATTGGGTTCAGACAGATTCAAAGAAGAAAACACCACCACCAGCCAACCAACCCAATATAATCTTCACTTAGGAAATATTCACCTAGTCTTTTCAAAGAACATTATTGGAAAAGCATACAAATCACACATGGCAAGCACCATTTATATCTTGCCTTGCATTTTAATGCCTATATGGTTCGCTTTATGAAGTTATTAAAACACAGGCTGGGCACGGTGGCTCACAACTGTAATCCCAACACTTTGGTAGGCCAAGGCGGGAGGACTGCTTGAACTCAAGTTTGAGACCAGCCTGGGCAACATAGCATAAAAATAAAAACTAAAAAATTAGCCAGGTACAGTGGTAAGCCCCCATAGTTCCAGCTACTTGGGAGGCTGAGGCGCAAGGATTGCTTGAGCCCAGGAGTTCAAGGCTGCAGTGAGCTTGTGACCAGACCACTGCACTCCAGCCTGGGCCAGATCAAGACCCTGTCTCTAAAAAATAAAAAAGTAAAAAATAGATATTTCCCTGATTTTAGTTCCTGGCTTTCTTGCCTGGAGAAGATAGGATGGACTAACATCAACTGTGGTACAAAAATGGTGTTTTGTGTATTTCCATTAATCTCAGCTTTGGTGAAGACACAGGAAGAATCTTATTAGATAGAAACCTGCCATTATACAGAGGACACACAGCCACACCACATTTTTAGTCTTTATTTTTTAAGTAAAGAAATTCCACTGAATCAAATATAACAAAATTACAGTTTTTGTTTGTAATGATCTTCGTTCACCACCACACAATCATAGTAGAATCAAAAGTAATGTGAGAACATCAAATGATCAAGGACATCATTTTTTAGTATAATTTCTTAATAAAGGTAATATCCCCATATTTAGAAAAAATTGCATTGCTAGTTGCAAATCTTAAACACCTCAGTGCTGAAGGATCCTGTACTTCCCCCCAAAGATCCAGCAGCACGGAGGCTTTCAGAACACAAACTCAAAAATATAGTATTTTCAGGGCAGCATTTTAAGTTTCAGAAAACCCAAACAAAACAGAACAAAACAAAATCAGAATTAGGAATGTGAAAGTGATGGTTCTCAAAAATCAATCTGGAAGCAGATCTGCCAACAGAAGAAGGTGGTTGCACAGAGTCTAACCAGGAAAAGGAGAGTTGCCAGCTCGCTCCCCTCCCCCCTCCCCCCAGCCCTGGCATCACTAAGGCAGCTGCAGCGGCAGAAGTCAGAAGCTCAGGTACAGTGAAGGTCTTCCTGAGGCAGTGGGAGAGACCCAGATCATCTGGAACCAGTGTGGAGAGGTGACAGGATTCTATGTGGACTTGTGCTTTAGGAAAACTAAAAAGGCCAAAATGAAAACCAGACAAAACCTAACTCCTACACCCAGGAACTCTGTCCACCCACACGAACAGCCTGAGAGAGAGTGGTTGGTGCTGGGACCTTGGGGGTCAGCAGCTCATCTGACTGCACAGCGTGGGTGATCTAGAAGGTGTATGCCCATGGAGACAAAGGGCATTTCTGCAGGTGCTCTCAGTGGACTGTCCCCAACTTATGGCAACAGTAGATTTCTTGGCTAATGGGGACTGAAAGCGAGAGAAGGTAGGTTATAGATTTTATTACTAATTGACAGGAGTCTAGTAAAAAGCTGACAACTTCATGGAACTCAGAATGTTACACTTAATCGACCAGTTAGAAATTAACTTCAGCTTATTATTATTAGAGATGCATGAAAGCTCTACCCACACACATGCTACGAAAAACAGTTCAGAAAACGTGGGCACTGACTTCAAAAAGGAGCCTCGGTCTACTCCAAAGCCTGCCTCCAAGGGCCACTGCAGGAGGATGCCTGCCTGGCCTGCAGCATCCGGGGGCAGCAGTAGCAGCAGAGACGGGAAGGAAGCGGGCCTTGCCTTGGGTGGCATTCCAGCTCCCTCTGCCAGCAGGGGCCAGTCCCCCATTCCTTAGTTTCAACTACAATTTGGCAAAAGCAATTCTAGTTTAATCGGGGGCGGAGGGGAGGCGAGGGGGTTTACTTCCCTCTGCTTAGCTAACAGAGGTAGAAGGGTGGGGCGAGGGGGCTTACTTCCCTTTGCTTAGATGATAACACAGGTAGAAGAACCCCCTTCCGTCAATTGCTTGGCCTCTAAATGCCACAGGCAGGCTACTTTTCAAGGCTTTTCGAAGCATCCAAGCAATCCAAAGTGGCTTTGAATTACAGGGTAAGGCCAAGAAGGGTGAAAAGGGGCCAGAGCTGAGGTATTTGGGCCAGTTCTGGATCACTCAGATTGTTGAGGGAGGGGGTGGGGGGCGTAAGACGACAAGGAGCCCACAGGCCACTTGACGAAATTCTCTGGTTTTGCTGGGGCTTTGCTTCAAATTTTCACAACAGAAGAATTTGAATTCGAATGCCACAATATTGTTGTAATACCAGGGATTCTCTAGAAGCAAGTTAAGGCTTTCTGAGCAAAGGAAACAATTTCAGACGACACTGTGACAGAATGCTGCAGTGAAATGCTCCCTCATGACTCTCCTGTCCTGCCTGAAGGACAAAGACCTACAAGTGACTTCAACTTGACGTGATGTTTCACTGATCTTTACTTCAACTCTAAGTCAGAATCAATGCCACAGGCAAAGAAAAGCCTCTTACATCTCAGACATCTGCTTGCCTAGCAAACACAAACAAGAACACATGTATTGTTTCCCTGGAGCTGGCAAAACACATCTCAAGTCACACAGTTACAAAGAGAGCTCTCATTCAGATGCCGGGCATATAAGCTCAGCTACCCAGAAAGTTCAGCTTTAATGAAGGCTGTGGTTTTAGAATGAAAGCCTGAGCAGGAAGGATTTCTGCCCTGGGAATTCTCAGTGCTCTGCCTGAGTCACACTGGAGGATGGAGACAGGCTCCTCGTTCCAGGGACCAGCACCTGCTGCAGTCACAAGACCACCCTCAGAACAGCAAGGATCTTATGACAATGGGGACTCTGAAGAGAAGCCAGTCAAAGACACAGGGTTTTGTACAAGATCAAGGGTCTTCACCAGAATACAGAAGCCCCCTCCCTCCAAGTCCCCTCAGCGTGAGCCGTGAGCCCTGACACAGCCGTTTCCACCTGCAAGGGCTGCAAAAGCCAAGCTCACGCAGATGTTCAGCAACGTTCAAGCAAACGACGTGTAAATAGATGAAGTGGTCTTAGACGCGGTCCAAGAGGAGGGAACAGGCTTAGAGAAGTGAGGTGATTTGCCCACGATCCACTGTGAATTAGAGACATTAGGAAAAGAACCCAGGTATATTTCCACTCTTATGGTGACTCCTAAAGTTCCCAGTAAGTATAAAGCGCTGCAGAGAGGTTAAAAGAATATTGTAACAAACAGCTTTCTGCTTTCATTCTGCTCTGGAATCATTTGTGTAAACTCACAGCAGGAAAAGATAACAGTTTTCTTCAAGTCTGTTAAACTCACTTCTAACATAAATACATTAAAGAAACCTGACACCACTTTTTTGAGTTACTTAATCCTAATTTGACAGGAATCAGTTACCTACAATTGTCTTCAAATTGCTGAGGACACGGAGTACCACAGGAGAGATGTGGGTGCTTCTCTCCATTGGTTTTAACACATTATTCCTGCAATGGAATTGTCCAGATTGATGCAATTTATTGCCTCAATTTGATTTTCAGATAAAATATTCAAACACTCTTTAAAAATTCGGCCTTGTTTTAGCCCAGATACAACCTTAGTGGCAAGAGGGGCATTCATATCATCATCAGAAATGAATCATTTGGGGAAGAAAGACGAGGACACCTGGAGGAAGGGAAAAAGATGACCTATCTGTAAACTGCCGCTCCCGCATTTACCAGGCAAGCTTGCGTCTCTGTAAATTCAATGGCTCTGTGCTCTCATTCAGGGACAAACAAGAATTTTCTTGTAAGACAGCCACAGTCACATTCTCATTTCTATGCCTGAGAGTCTGGAGCTTGAACAAAGGGCTTCAGTTGACTTCATGTGAGCCAAAATGGAATGTGAGTGCCATTCAGAGTCACACACTAAAAAGATTTCAGCTGGGACACTGGCTCCCACAGTTGTGGGGGAGCAAATTCCGGTTGTGTGGCAACAAAGGCTATGCTGCCAGCCCTGCCTGTCCTCCACAGGGGCCACCAGGGCCGCCATGCAGATCAGACCCCAAGGACACCCTCCCCCACACCGGTTTGTGTGACAACAGGGCTGTCTTTTCTCCTCCCGAATTTCTGAATGGAGCTGGCACCTGGGCCAGTCCCTGTTTTGTCAGATAGGCTAAGGGGTGTGGCCTCAGGCATAAGAAAGGAGCCTCTCGCTCTTCTGGGGTGGTGATTCAATCCCAGAAAGTTATTGCGTGGTTTACCTATTCTCATAAAAACTCTTGAGAAATGAAGGCAGTAGTAGCAGGAAAGATGACTATGAAATCTTCTAGATCACAGCTGTGCTTGGGTGAAGGGAAAAGTAACAGAGGAGAGGGACTAGCTTCCAAACTGAGGGGTAAAGTGCCCATCTGTGCTAAAAGAACACAAAAAGGAAATGTATTGGAGAAATAATACATTGCGGGGGAAGTCATAATGATAGAAGTTAAGGAGTGTCAGGAATTATACCAAAGCAAAGTTGAGACCACAGAAATCTCAATCTTCTGAGATAAGGGCTGGTTTTGATGTTATTCGGATGATCTGGTGATTGTCAGAGAAAACAACTTCTTCAGGTTACAGACATTACAGTCACAGTCACTTGGACCCATGCCCAAACCACACCCACCTGTGGGCCAGAGGGTTGACATTCAGGTGCCCAGGTGGCTTCCTTGATCCCTGAAACATCCATGCAGACCCACTATTTATATTCCAGTCTGTCCTGGAGTCAAAGGAGATGAAGGAGGGAAAATCTCTTTTTAAAGTATCCAGGCAATTTTACTCATGGTTCTGTTTAGTTCCAGATAGCAACTAATGATTTTTCAAAGTGCAGGGTTTTTAGGTATTCAAGTACCACAGGATCGGAGAAAAGGAGTACTTGAAGCCTAGAGTTGCATTTTCACTTGAGAAGACACACTTTAGAAAGATCTATCCAACACATTGCAAATATAGGCTATTAAGTTAAAAATCTGGTTTCAAAGTAACACCCTCTTAGGTTGGAAATATCTTTCTCCAAACTCAGATCCAGCTTTTGAATTGTTTGGTATCAAAAGCCAAAGTTAAAAGGACTTGGGTTTAAAAACTAAAATGACAATTGAGTGCTTAAAAAAAAACCTCAAAACATCTTTTTATCAAATAAGGGACAAAAAAAAAGGTAAATGATGATATCTACATGCTTAGACTGGGAGAGCAGCTCCCAGGTTCCTCTGGAGGGATGTTCTCTCAAATCTCAGTAAACTGAGTTTGTCATTGAACTTTGAACCTGGTAGTGCGCTCAGCAATCTACCTGGTCCAAGTCCCCCATTTTAGAGGCAAAGAAACCAAAGTCCCCAGGGACTTTGTCCAGGGTGAAAAGCAGAGCCAGGGCACAGCCCAGATGCTCAGCCACCCAGAGCCCTTCTGAGACATCACACTGTGGTCACACAATGGCAGCTCCATGGCCGGCCTTGCTGCTCTGGAGGCCTTGGGATTACAAATTTCAATAAAATGAGCTAAGAAGATGTTTCCAATTTAAGGGCGCCATTGAACACCATTTTCAAAGTTTGCCTGGTGATGAGAATCACCTGGGGCAGCTGTCAAAAATTAAAATCCCCAGGCTCCTTCCCAGACCCAATTAATTAGCCGCTCCGAGGGGAGGGACCTGGGAGGCTGAATTTTTAACAAGTGCCCCACATAACTCTCAGCAGCAGCAGCAAAGTGTAGGGAAATGGTTTTAGAAGACAGGGTAAAAACTTGGCCTGTGACTCAAAGGAATTTCGTTTGCCATTTAAGAAGCCACACTCTGGCCTGGGAAGCCCAGCTTCTCAGGCTTCCAAGCTGAGCTGTGTCTTCAGCATTGGCCTGGAAGGGTGAGCTCTTTTTAAGGTCTATGTAAGGACACATAAAACCATCACAAAATGACATACATCCTTCGCTGTTCTCAGGGAAAAGCCTTTTGACGGCAAAGCGAAATTACTATTCAGACACATTTTTAAGTAGAGAAACTAGATGTACTTGGCTTAAAAGCAACCTGGTGCTGAAACTGGACAGAGGGCAAGAACTCTGTCGCTTGTCACCATGGCTAACAATGCAATGGAGAAAACCAGTAACTAAGCACAAAAATAGCCTGGAGCTCCCAGGAAGAGCTGCCTACTCAGAGACAGGTGTGCATGGTGGGTGCCGCCTGCTGATGGTGTGAGGTCAGATCCAGGTCACTCAGGGAGATGGGAGACCTGAAACGGGGTGAGGGGACAGAGCTTCCAGAGGAGGGCTGCTGGAGTGTGCCAGAGTCCAGAGGCCTCACTCCAGGTCGGCCTCCACCTGCTCCGTGTCAGAGCACTGTGACTTGTTACGCTCCCATTGGCAAATGGCGTTGGCATACTCCACCACCAGCTTATCCATCCACGTCAGGGGCTCGGGGAACAGCACAGAGCCCTCAAAGAAGCCCAGGTGGCCCCCGTGCAGAGGCAGCACAAACATGACGTTCTCCCGTTTCTCTGCAGGGGAAAGGCAGCTGAGTGAGTTACTGTTCTCCAGTTTGCTCCAGGACGCTGGCTAGGGTGGCCTGGGCTTTCCCCACAGAGGGGTCAACTAAGTGGGTAAAGGTCACCAACCTCCACTCACTCTGCCTTGTTCACGAAAGTTGGGGGCAGGCAAGACAGGGGCACCTAGCAGGTTTTAGAATACAGCCTGGCTTTGGAGCTGAATGGGCACCAGTTTAAGAAGGCCTTAGAGCACTAAGGGGTTCTCAGACTTGGCTGCATATTAGAATCAGTTAGGAAATTCTTAAAGCTCCTTAAGCCCAGGCTGGCCCAGATGAATGAAATCAGAATCTCTGGGTATGGAAGGTGAGGAGGCGTGAGGGAGGGGAATGCCCAAGCCTTGGTATTACTCCAGTTCCCTAGGTGGTTCAATGTGCTTCCTAACTTTGTGCATTGGAATCACTTAGGATATCTTGTTAGAATGCACATTTTGATTTTAAGCCTGAAGGAAGAGCTGAGATGCTGCATTTCTAAAAAGCTCCCAGGTGATGTCCATGCTAGTGGTAGGGGTCAGGCTCTGATTAGGGATTCACAGCATTTACAGTATTATTTACTAGAGAACAAGGAGAATTCAATGGAGTCAGTGATTTTTCACTACAGACATTTATCTTCAAAATTCTTAAAGCTGCAAGTTGTGTTAAAAGATGCCCAAGCTCTCAATGCCACATGCTAAGTGGCCGTACTGAGAATTAATAACCTGGAGCTTGAGTTTACTTTTTATTTTTTCGAGACAGAGTCTTGGCTCGCTGCAACCTCCACCTCCCCGGTTCACGTGATTTTTGTGCCTCAGCCTCTCTAGTAGCGTGTACCACCACGTCCGGCTAATTTTTGTACTTTTAGTAGAGATGGGTTTCACCATGTTGGCCAGACTGATCTCAAACTCCTGACCTCAAGTGATCAACCTACCTTGGCCTCCCAAAGTGCTAGGATTTAAAGGCGTGAGCCACCACACCTGGCCCAGTTGCTTCTATCTTTAAAGCAGATGGAGAGGTTGTCACAAAAGATAGTGGAGTCGGATTTTTTGTTTTGCTTTTCCAGTCAAATTTTATTTTTTTACCATTAATTTATTTTTAGAGACAGGGTCTTGCTCGTTTGCCGAGATAGCTTGCTGTAGCCTCAAACTCCTAGACTCAAGTGATCTTCCTGCCTCAGCCTCCCGAGTAGCTAGGACTACAGGCAGGTACCACCATGCCCAACTAATTTTTAAGTTTTTTTTTTTTTTTTAGAGATAGGGTCTTACTATGTTGCCCCGGCTTGTCTCAAATGCCTAGCCTCAAGTGATCCTCCCATCGCAGACTCACAAAGTGCTGGGATTATAGGTGAGCCTAGTCTCAAATTTTAAATCTAAATATCTCTTTTTTTTTTTCTTTTTTTTTTTTTTTGAGTCGGAGTTTCGCTCTTGTTACCCAGGAGTGCAATGGCGCGATCTCGGCTCACCGCAACCTCCGCCTCCCGGGTTCAGGCAATTCTCCTGCCTCAGCCTCCTGAGTAGCTGGGATTACAGGCACATGCCACCAGGCCCAGCTGATTTTTTGTATTTTTAGTAGAGACGGGGTTTCACCATGTTGACCAGGATGGTCTCGATCTCTTGACTTCATGATCCACCCGCCTTGGCCTCCCAAAGTGCTGGGATTACAGGCGTGAGCCACCGCGCCCGGCCAAATCTAAATATCTCTTTATGTTGAACTCTCACACTTAAGGGAAACCTAAACCTGAGATAATTTCACAGAACATCAGGTGGCTCCCCAGAGCCCCATTGGCTATGGATATACATGACGGTCCTGTCTCATGCCCTGGGAGGGACACGAGGGGGGCCTGATGTTCAGGCCCCATCAGAGCCCGAAGACTTTCAGACCACACAGAACACTGACTGCAATGAGATGTCTTTCCCCACAGAGGCTGGCCTCCAGGAAATGACAGCATGGTAAAGTGGCAGAATTTACTGTGGTGATTTGCTGACCTGTTGAGAGGACAATAGAAAGAAACACTTACCTGAAAGAGATTTTGGAATGGTTAGAAGACTTTCATGCACCAAGGGATCATCAGCTGCATTAACCAGCATGAGAGGCACATAAATCTGCAACAAGAAAATAAAAGCAGAATTAAATTACTGATTCCCATTTTCAGACCCCATAGATTGAAGGCTCAAACTCACTGCTAGACATGTTTTTGAAGCAAAGGAAAGCTGGCCACAGCTCAACAGGTGGAGTAAGGGTACCTGGTATTCTCTGGCAGTGTGACAAGTTCCATCTGCTGCTGTGATTTCTGCTCTGGCAGCAGCCAAGTGCAGAAGCAAAGCTTCCTGATGATCATCACAGTGTTTCAGAGTAGCCATGCCTTTTAGGAAATGACTTTACAATGAATTACGTATGTATTCAGTTTATATCACGGGAGGGAAAAAATGAAGTGTACTCCACATTAGAAAAAAGAGATTTTCTAGAGAAATCTAGGCCAAGGCTAGACACAGTGATTCATGCCTGTAATCCCAGCACTTTGGGAGGCTGAGGTGGGAGGACTGCTTGAGCCCAGGAGTCTGAGATCAGCCTGGGAAACATAGCGAGACCTGTACCCTCATGTCTATTTAAAACACAAAAACAAAAACAGAACAAATCAAAATAATCTAGGTCAGGCGCGGTGGCTCATACCTATAGTCCCAGCTACTCAGGAGGCTGAGGCGGGAGGATCACTTGAGCCCAGGATTCCAAAGCTGCAGTGAACTATGATCACACCACAGCACTCTAGCCTGGGCAACAGAGCAAGAGATCCTGTCTCTTAAAAAGAAAAGAAGAAGAATCTGAAGGTTGAAAATAGGAGTAGGCTGGTGGATATTGGAAAACCGTTGGCAGGGCTGCATTCAACGTCCACTTTAGTAAAACAGCCATAGCCTCCTTTTTCATTTCAGTGGAGGTGGTACTGATGGGGAGAATCAGACGTTGGTGAACAGCCATATCGAGGCAGTGGGTGATTGTGCTACCCTGCAGGTCTCTGATGTTGGCTCTAGACAGCTCAACATTCCTATAATGGCTTAAATGACGACACCAAAGGCCTGATGCTGTTAAACTCGGAGGGATGGCTGGTCAAACAGCACAACTCCAGTTCCTAGTGATCTGCTTTACAAGAGAAAGGTGGGCCAAATCTACAGGTGGCCACTGACAAGGAGAAATGGGAAGTCCTGTGTGTGGATAAGTCAATTGTGCAAAGACAGAACGAGAGGGACTGGCTTGTTGGTCATTCAGGTAAAACAAACATGGAGATTTTGGTTGGCCAGAAACTTAATACACACAACGTTTATCGTAGCTGCTAAAAATGGCATTAATACAAACCAGTCTACCTCATTAACAGACATGCTCCTCATCACTCTGATGCAAAAACACATCTGTCTTACTCTGTGCTTACCAGACCATGGCAGGAAGTCTGAGTTCAGTCTCGGGCACCATGGTAACAAAATACAGAACGGCTGGAAGATAGTCCAGGACGGTGAGATACCCAGACAGATCTCACTGGTCTGGCAGAAACCAGACAGGATTATACTATCAAAGGAAGACTAAGAAAAAAGTGGATGTTGGAGCAATTTTAAGGGTTCTCACACAGCCGTGGGAGCACCCGAGTCTCTGGGCAGCTCTGGGATTAATGTATGGTAGTTACAGAGGGAGAGGGTCTGGTTCCATAAACAAATCCAAGCTAAAAACTACTGGTTGGAGCCAGAGTCCCACTGAGCTTCCACCAGGAAAATGTAGGAGGGCTATGTGCTGTGTTGTGTCCGAGGCTGATGGAGTGGCGCTGATTCACTCACCCTGTGCAGGTACCGCATGCAGCTTTCTTCCTCATAGTATTCCTTCAGGGAGTTATAGCCATGAAACTTCCTGAACATGCCAGAAAAAGAAAAAAAGGAAAAGGATAAAACATGTGTCATAAGATCAGAATGCTGAGCCGATTAGGGCTCCAGTTCCTCACGCTAACTTGTGGCATTGGTAGAGCAGACAGAGGCAGGAACTAGGCCTGAATGCTAAGCTGATTTTATTACTGTTCCAGATCCTGCACTAACTCACCATATCGATGCAATGTATGTAGGTAGCAGGGTTTGGGGCTAAGAGCACTGGCTTTTGGCATCTGGGTTCAAATCCTGCTTCGGTCATTTACTGGCTATGGGACCTTGGGCAAATGGTTCAACTTCCCTGAGCCTCAGCTTCTCCTGTATAAATGAATCTAAAGACAGGGCCTTCCTCAATGGAACTGTGAGACTTATGATGTTAAAGTGCTTACTAGCATCATGACCAACCCAGAGTAATGACCCTGTAGTAATTGTTATCTATAGTAATTATTAGTGTATGTTACATCTCTTGAGACAGCATAAAACCAGATGTCACTATAGATATGGAGAAACTGAAATTCAAGGGCATTTACTAGGACTTTCAACAGAGTTCTTGGTGGAGTAACAGGACCACTGTGAATTGGAATAGAATATGTATTAGATAACAGAAACGAGACCGTTGTTCAAAGTTACCAATTCTGTCCATTTACCTCTGACTACTCTCTGTATCTCTGACTATGGAGCAATAGTCAGAGCTAAACTGGCATGTAACAAAACCTCTGGTGCTCAGCATGGAGGAGGAGCTGTAGCTCTGCTCTGCTCTGTGCTCCCAGAGGCCCAGCAAGGTTCAACCTGGAGCTCCGACACCAGGAGGCCTAGGCCAGAGGATTTCAAAACCTTTCTTTCTGACACAGTTTAGGGCCTCTGGCTTCTGAGTGGTGGGTCTTTCTGTTGGGATGGGTCTTTAAGCTATCTTGCCTCCCCTGAAGCTGTGGATCTCTTCTATTACCAGCCTCTTATCGACATCTCAGCCTGGGAATGACCTGGAAAACGCAGGCTGGACTATTAGGGCCCTCTTAACAGGGAGGAGGCCAAGTGTAGAGATCATCTCTAAGAGGCCTGTCCTTGTGAAATCAGTTCCTTTGTGGAATCAGTAGGGAGGGAAAGCAATCCATCCCTCCAGTATTACTGGGATGGATCTATGAGGAAGCCACAAGACTGGTCATGATCATAAAACTGCTCCTATCAATCGCTATTAAAGAAGAAGGACTTCAGAGAGTGTTGAGAAACATTCTCTTTGGGCTTAAACAATTTAGGAGATAAATGGGAAATTTAATTTGTTTTTTTCTTACCAGACACCACAATAAAGTCACATACCTCATCTGAAGTGAGGGTAAGATTCATTTTTCACCTTCTGAACATACTAGCAATTTCCTAGTTTTCATTTCCTTTGAGAAACACTTAGCAGGCATATTTCAAGGTTACTTGGTGTGAGAAGGCCACTAAATTCTCACAAGGAAGAAAAGGAGAGATCCTATACCCTCAGGTCAATATCTGCCTGTCTATTAGATGAAGAATAATTGCTTGCTTTAAACCACATCTAAAGATATCAAATAATTTACTTTTTATTTTTAAGGGACAGGGCCTTGCTCTGTTGCCCAGGCTGTGATCATAGCTCACTGTAACCTCAAACTTATGAGTTCAAGTGATCCTCCTGTCTCGGCCTCCCAAATAGCTGGGACTACAGGTGTGTGCCACTATGTTTGGCTATTTTTATTTTTCAATTTTTTTTTGTAGAGACAGGGGCTTGCTATGTTGCCCAGGCTGGTCTCAAACTCCTCATCTCATGTGATCCTCCAGCCTTGACCTCCCAAAGTGCTGGGATTGCAGGCGTGAGCCACTGTTCCCGGCCTCAAATGATTGTTAAACGAAAAGGATCGGGTAAAGAGAATGATGTCAGAGGTCAATTTTACCTTTTTCAGTGAAGGCTAATCTCAATCAGAAACTACTGGTGCCTGGAAAGAGGGGACACTGTCAAGGCTGCAACCTCAGGTGCCTGGAGGACCCAGGCAGGTGAAGAGCAGATGAATGAAGTGGGCAGTATTTGCATCTTTCACTCAGAGGGGAGTCTTCAGGCCCCAAACAGAGAGGTTATGTCCATTTTGCTTGAAACACATAGCCTTCTTGGTCTATCTTCTGTTTTTCTATGCTTTTTGTTGTTGTTGTTGTTAATTTTGAGAAACGTCTTGCTCTGTCACCCTGGCTGGAGTGCAATGGCATGAACATTGCTCACTGCAGCCTCGACCTCCTGGGCTCAAGTGATCTTCCTGCTGTGGCCTCCCAAAGTGTTAGGATTACAGGCGTGAGACACTGCCCCTAGCCAGTTTTTCTACTCTTGTTAGAGACATAGAGAGGTAAAAGAAATATTTCCTTTGCCTTTTGCTCCACCGCAGAATGCAGACTGATGTGGCACCTGATGCTTGCCCCTGTGTTGAGGCAAGACAGGTGGGGTGAAGATGGCCCAAGCTCGGCCTGCACACCCCAGCTTCCTGAATCAAGCTAACTATGCTATGCAGAAATACAGAATGAACAGTAGGACCCTTTTCTTATTTTCCAGGAGAAACCAGAAATTTAAATTTTTCTGTACAATCTTGTGTTTTTAAACACTAGACACTTACTGAAAGAAAAAACAACAACAACACCCTTAACACTAAAGTGGGCAGAGCAAAGCACCAGTACTGGGAAGAGCTGGCCTGTAGCCTCCCGCCTGGCACCCGGCCCCAGCCCGTCCCTTTCCTGTCTGCGGTGACACACCTCATCACATTGTCGTCAATCTGCATCAGGGATGTTGCTGTGTAGAGCCGGCTCAAGTCCGTGTCCTCCAGGCTCTGGGGCTTCTTAACATGGTCTCCAAAAAGAGCTTGCCTAGAGCAAACACAAAAGCAAACAGAGACTAAGATGTGGAGGATGAACAGCCAGGAGGCAGAGCAAGGTGGTCAGTTACAAATGGAACTTTAGCCTTTGGAACATCCCAGAAGATGAGCTGGTGCCGTTGACTTTTGAGTTAAGTGCAGAAAGATGAATGTCAAAACCTTATTTCCCTTTTCAGGGGTACCCAGACAAACTAAAGATTGGGTTTGAGCCTAGATGAATATTAAAAGCCTTCAGCTCAGGGGTGGAGGGCTCAAGATGGGCCCTGTGGTGAGTGGTGGGCTGTGGGCCAAGGCATAGGGGCCTCGTCCTTCCACTATGTCGACTATGTCCCCTTGGCAGAGACCCTTCCCCTTAATGAGCTGTTTGTGTTGCTTAACAAGGAAGACTCAGTGTGCAGGAAGGAGAGGAAAACAAACAAAAACCAAGGAAGACAAGGGTTAAACCATTTAGCTTTTGGCAAATCAACCACTTTCCAGTGTCTTAGATAAAAGCTAAGATCTATTCAGGAGAGCAATCATTTCTTTTTTTCCCCCCAACCCCCAAGTGGAACCAGCATTTCTATTATGAAAAAATCCATCTTGAGAGGATGACATTAGAGGTAGGGGTCAGAAAGTGCACTTCTGACCTCCCTTCCCAGCCAAGGGCTCTCATTCACACACCTGGAAGCGGACTGAGTTTGCCGAGGATGACCCTGCGGTGGGAAAGATTTATTATGGTAACTCGATATTCTGCTTCCACTCACAACCTATCCTAAAAAAGAACACATTTCCATAGCATTTTTTTTTAGAAGAATATTGGGAAGATTATATACCTAGTGGATAGAATTCAAAAATTCAAAGTTACCCTAAAATTTCTAAATGTTTGGCTTTCTGTAGCAAATTTGAAAAATGTAAATACTTAGAGTAGACTCAAAAGACTCTCATAATTTGAACCTTCTATACTAACTACTATCAAGACTGGGTCCTTTAGCAAAACATATGTGCCCTGTGAGGGGTCACTTTCAACTCTAGAGGTATAAAAAGGCAGACAGAGGACTTGGACTTGGTGTCAAAGGCCTGGACCCACTCCTTTCCGCTTCAGGCTACAAAACCTCTGCAGTCTCCAGGCCCATCCAAACCTTAGCTGAGCCCCACGCACCTCTGTGCCCAACGCACGGCTTAAACTTAAACACGAGCCGAGTAGGAGCAGCTGATTTTCCAGCCAGCACAGGGGACATAAGTCTCCCTCTGCTCTCCTTCCTGACACGAGGGCACAAGGTCATGTCTGGCAACGTGGCAGCCTGATGGGGCCTTCAAGCCCCGCCTTGCTTAGGCGCCATGCGAATGCCCACCCACAGGAAGCCCAATCTGGGGTGTGAGGCCTGCTTTAACCACTGGAATAAAGAGAATAAGCAACTGATGATTTAGTTGGATTGCTTTTCCTAGAGTGGTACAAAAATCCCCCAGATTTTTTTGAGTGCGCATATGTCTCAGGCACTGGGAGCAACCAAAACATTCTTAAGCCCTTCAATGCTCTCCAGTTTGGTTCTAGACATAGGATTTACAGAGGGGAAGCAACAGAAAAGTAACTTGGGCATGGATGAGTTGCCTTCACAGAAACAGAAGAATTGAGATGGACTTTAAAGGATGGGCTGGGTTCCCACCAGCAGAGAAATGGGAAAGCATTCTCAGCAAGGGGAGTAAGTGGTATGGGAGAGGCCAGGGGGCACAGGAGCCTCTCAGTAGCCTAGTCCAGCTACAGGGGATGAGAGACGTAGGGGAAGGAGGCAGAAATGTCAGCTATAATAATCATCATAATGAAAGTCATTACTAATATTTATCTGGTGCCATGCACACCAGCAGTGCTCTCAGCACTTGACAGGTTAACCCACTGCAGGATTCTGGGCTGGAGAGACAGGACTAGCATGAAGCCTACAAAGAGACTAAATCTCCAAGCAGGGAGGCGCCCATACCACACTTCGAGCCTCCTGTCCCCCTGCTGCTTGGTCAGAGGCCCAGGGGCCGGCCAAGAATGAGTCCTGATCACCCAGGCACAGAAGCATCCTACAGGGAAGGTCTCCTCAACAATGACAGCCACCTTGGGATCACTCTAATTTAGGAAAAAAGGGTGTAGAAGTGGTTCCTTGTCTTAGATTTACTGGGAATTACACAAGCATAAGGCAATTTGGCAAATTCAGTTGCTTGGGACAAATTTCTTTTCCTTTTTTGTCAGATAGGATCTTGCTCTGTCACTCAGGCTGGAGTGCAGTGGTGCAATCTTGGCTCACTGCAACCTCCACCACCTGGATTCAAGCAATTCTCCTGCTTTAGCCTCCTGAGTAGCTGGGATTACAGGTGCCACCGCGTCTGGCTAATTTTTGGTAGAGACAGGGTTTCACCATGTTGGCCAGGCTGATCTCGAACTCCTGGCCTCACGTGATCTGCCTGCCTCATCCTCCCAAAGTTCTGGAGTTACAGGCGTGAGCCGCCACGCCTGGCCAAGACAAGTTTGTTTCTAATCAAGTCACAAACGCGGGGAGCAGAGAGTGTGTACTACCCCTGCATTTTTTTTTTCCCTGAAGGAACAGGAGTCCTGGCTTTCCATGGCTCCCAGATGAGCTTAGGAAGGAACTGTCTCCTGAGAGAGAACAGAAGGTGACCTACCTGTGCGAGAGGATGATCTTCTTCATGTTGTCGGCCATGAGGAAGTTGTAGAACCGCCGGCACTGATCCCACTGCATGAAGGTTTCCTGGGCCCTGGAAGAACCACAGTGAGTAAGGACAACTGCGGTGTGGGGGTGTGGGTGAGCAGCTGGGAGGGGGCTCTAGCTATGGGGCAAGGCGCTTGTGTGGAAAGGGCCAGCTCTCAGGCTGTGGCCTCTGCATTAAAACAGAGGCTCTAATGTGCAGAGCTCAAACATCTGTGGAGAAATCTATGGCGACACCAAGACAGCGCAGCAGAAGGGGATCCCGGGAAAGGCCCTCTCTAGCACCAGAGGCTTTGTTAGGGTCTTCCTGACACTCTCTTCTAGCACCCGGGCCTTCTCTTAGTCACTGAGCCTGCCAGGATCAAGTCTGCTTCAATCGTCAGGTGAACGCTTTCTGTATCTAGCTTCCTACCTGGCAGGCCAAGTTTCTGGTTTAATAATAGGCACGTGGAAGGGGAGAGTGGGTGTGGAGGGGAAACCTAAAAAAACTTCTGTCTTGCTGATCAAGAGGTAAAGGAAAATCATTAACTGGAATCTCCTCCAAGTAAAACTATCTTTTAATTAGGCTTATGCCATCAAAGAGGCAAGGAAAGCAGGAGTGCCAGAAGTTCCAGGCATGGCTGGCGGGCTGGTCCAGAAGCATGCCTGCCCACTGGGCTAGTGTGTGATTGGCACATGCCAGGTGGCTGTGAAGGCCACCTTCTAACCCTTGAGTGGTGGCACTTGGCAGGTAATGTTATCCCTGTTTTCCAGAGTCCAGGTTCTGCAGCAGTCCATGGAGAGGGAGGAGGCAGCACCACCAGCCCTGTCCATGTGCTTCCCCAGCCAGATTTCCATGCCCACACGGCAAGTGAACAAACACGTTTTATTATTTAACTGTCTCCTGTGCTGGACATGTGGATTATTTCTAACTTGGCACTGTAAGAGAGTAATCCTCCAGTGGGGCAAAACCAGGACCAGACCAGCCCCCAGAGAGAGGAAGGGGGCAGGGTCCTAGGCAGGCTGGCCAAGCCCAGGACAGGGCTCCCCCCTTGAACAGTCAGGCCTCTGGGAAGAGGGATGGTGGAGCCTGTGGACCCAAAAGACCTAGCCAGAAGGTTCTGGGCTGGCAGTTGGTTGCCCTTCAGGGACAGAGCCAATCTGTAGAGAAGTCATCACCTCCAGCCAGTTCAGCTTAAGAGTGTGAGCACAAGAAAACCATGTTTGTACCACACAAGAGGTGGGCCAAGAGTTTTTGGTACCCGCCAGGCTAGGCTTTGTTAGTTCCATTGGGGTAGAAGAATGGGGCAGAAAGATGGACTTCAGACTACGGAAGGGATGGCCACCTACCAAGCCCCTTTCTTCCTTAACAGAATCTTTCCCCTTTTACAGGATGTCCTTTCACAGGAATCAGCTAGAGTCAAAGAGTATGAAAGAGTATGCATATGGCGCCTCATTATTCTGATAAAAAATTAACAACAAAATAAACAAAAAGCCCTGCGGCACTAAGGGCAACCGTGGGGTCAGGTCGACATCACAAGCCAGTGGTGGAAGTTGAGCTGTTTCCCAGGTTGAAGTTCTGTTCACAGAGTCTCACTTAAACGCTGCGGTTTCCCCCTCTTCGTTTGATTGTGATTCAAAGTTACTGATGGCACAAAGTGACTATATTTTACAGCTTTCAACTATAAAAACAAACTTTAGGAAATTCCCAGTCTCTGGGGGAACTTTACGAATGATAACATTTGCTTTTGTCATAAACTCATTTCTAGCCTGGAATTTGCCCATCAAAAGCAAAAGAGATAATACCCCCCATATTTGGCAGGAAAAGTGGTACCTGCCTCTGCCTCAGGCAAGAAGGCCTTGTTTAAAGAACTCTAGGATATTCAGGTGGCCAAGTCTTAGTGGCCCAACACATTCACTTAGCCAGGAGGATAAGTGCCTTTCAGGAAATTCTAAACACTTCTCTGAAAATTCCTCTACATATTCACTTAGCCAGGAGCATAAGAGCCTTTGAGGAGGTTTGAAATGCTCCTCTGATAATTCCTCTAGTGTCCTATAAGGCAGTGGTCCTTGGGACTGGCTTTGTGGAAGATGGCTTCAGGATGATGCAAGCGTATTATATTTATAATGTACTTTTCCCCTATTATTATTATATTATAATACATAATGAAATAATTATACAACTCACTATAATGTAGAATCAGTGGGATCCTTGAACTTATTTTCCTGCAACTAGACAGTCCCATCTGGGGGTGATGGGAGACAATGACAGATCATCAGGCATTAGATTCCCATAAGGTGGGTGCATCCTCAATCCTTCATATGCATGATTCACAGTAAGGTTCACCCTCCTATGAGAATCCAATGCCACAGTTGATCTGACAGGAGACGGAGCTCAGGCCATCATGTGAGCAATGGTGAGAAGCAGTAAATGCAGATGAAGCTTCACCCACTACTTCCCTACTGAGACCTGCCCACCACTCACCTACTGCTGCGTAGCCCAGTTCCTAACAGTGGTTTGGGACCCTTGCTGTAAGGGGCTTCTGCCCCTGGTCTGGGCCCTGTGCTACTGTCCTCCTCACCCTCACCTCCTTCAGAAATCCCTCCTCACTGACCCCTCTACTTGACTGAGGACCTCCTCGGCACCCATATGCCTAATGTGTAATATGTTAGTAACATGCATTTGTTGGTTTGTGGCTTTGTAGCTATCACTCTATTACCTTAAGTGCTGTGACATCCTCAGATACAGAGACTATCTTTTATACCCAACTGCAATAAAATGCTTTTTAGTTTTATTATTGGTCAATTCTGCAACGTAGGATTGTTAAGGGCTTTCTTGGGAAAGAAGAATTTATTTTACCTGAAACCAGACCAAAAATGCTTCCCTCCCCATTTTCTTTAAGCTCCATGAGGGAGGGAATTTAGTCTGCCTTGTTCAGGGCTGTGTCCCCTGACCTAGGAGGATGTCTAACCAGAGTCCCGGGGTGGGTTGGCAGCTGTTTCTGCTGAGGGAACGGGTTAAAGCCTGCTGGATGCCTGGTGATTTCAGGGCATTTGTGTTCCTCTTTCAGTGGTTCAGCACATGGTAAAAGGTGAGCTAGTTTAGCAGCAGCTAGACTTTGCTAACTACAGCAAGCAGGTAGCTGGCTTCTCTTTGCACCTTCGGTGGGCTCTGGCGGGATGGGAGGTGAACTACAGGAGGAGAAGCCAGAGGGAGGGGCTTACTGAGGAAGCAGGACTCCAGGCTCAGCTAGGAGAGATTTACCAGACGCATGAACTCTCGTGCGGCCCCTGCAGAGGCAGACAGGCCTCCCAGTTCCACCTCGCAGCCGCCACCATCCCAGTGCCGGAAGGCTCACCGCCCTCAAGCCTTGGCAGGAAAAAAAAAGTTATACTGGTTTAAAGTAAGGGACTGTGTTCCATCTGTTCCATAGGCCTGGTTTAAATGCTGAGGGCACCTGAGCCTTGCACTGGCACACACAGGCCAGCGGTGTCTCTCTGACCTGCTGCCAGTTCCCATAGGCAGGGCCGCATGATCAGCCTGGACGTTAGTTCTCTGTGCTCCAGAGAATAAAGTTGAAACTTGCTCCTCATTGCGTGAGGTTGGTGAGCCAATAGTTAGTTATGTGTATGAAGCCCTCTGAGGTCTCAGGGAAGGGGCTGTGTAGGCTATGTCTGCAAAATGTAAAGCACCTCACAGATTTTAGTTTCCTAGCTTCTTGAGCCTTCTTTACCTTAGTTCACTTTAGTTTGTGATGTCAATCATGTGCTCTTGCTGACAGCAGATGGCGCTACTGTAGCGAAATGAGATGAAGCGATTGTCATTTCAGATTTTGTGCGTTGAAAAAAGAAAACAAACGTCCAAGCTCCCTTGGATCCTGGGGTAGGCCCCTTGCTCATGTCTTTCTTATCCAAGTAACTGGGCCCGATAGGACTTTGGTTAATTCTGGTTACACATGGCTATGAGCTGGGAGTTGGATATTTCTAGTCACACCAAGATAAAGGCACGTGTCCTCTCAGCTGACTCCCCAGTGTCCAGAGGAATGAAGGAAAAGATTCCTGGTAGGAAGATGGGGGACTATGCTGGTCCTGGAACACGAGAGCTGGAGGGGCCACTGAGGTCACTAACCCCAGGGACTGTTTAAATGTGGCTAGACATCAAAAGTCACCTATGAAATGTGTCCAAAATGCAGATTTCTGGGGTTCCAGTCCTCCAACTTCATGAATCAAAATTTCCAAGGGTGGCCCAAGAAACAGAATTTCTTTCCAACATGATCCTCCAGTGATTCCTTCTGAAGTGAGGCAGTCACTAGTTCACGGGACTGGTCTTTGTGATCTGCAGATCTAACCCACCTCCTTCATTTTACAGCAAATGATGATGATGATGACAATAATGAAAATGAAGAGTGGCTTACGTTCTGTGTGCTGGGCACCGTTCTAAGCACTTCATATGCATTAACTCAGGACTCTCAGTGGTGCTATGAGGTAGGTACCCCTTATTATCATCATGCCCGTATAGCTGGCAAGGAAAACCGGAACCCAGACCTTGGCTCTGGGACTCAGGAAGGGTTTCATCAGAGATGTTTGTCTGTTGTGGGTACATTTAGATCATCTTTTTTGGCCAGCTTTAAGCCTCATAAGGAGAGGCTGAATCCTGGGCCCACATTGTACCTTTTGGGTATGCTGGCTCTAAGATCCAGTAATATGTACTTTTAGAAATAATATAGCCTCTATCCATCAGAAAACAACAAGGTATGTTTAAACTGAAGCATGAGATGTACAGGTGAGGCAAAAAGGACAGATTCTTTGAATAACGATAATAACTGTTTGGCATTAGACTGGAATAATAGGGAGGTGTTTTCAAACTTTCTTGTGTTTAAAATTTAATTTTAGAATTTTTTCAGAAGATTTTAAATAACTGGTTATACTCATTTGTAATACAAAAGACACCATGAAGAGTACAGAAAAAAAAAATGAATGTATTTGAAGAGCCTGGAGAGGTGTGTGTCTATGGTGTGAATGTGGTGACTCGCGAGAGACCTGGGACAGCAGTGACCTTGAGGGGAATCAGAGCAGATGACCACACCCTCCTAGGACTCATCCTGTGGGGTATCTACGGCAGGAGACTAAGGGGTGGGAGAAAGCTTGACCCGGTAGATCAGCTCCTTTGTGATGATGTTTGGGATGCCTGAGAGAGACAAGCAATAAATGATTTCTACAGATCCCTTCCAGGTGCCATCCGAGACTCAGCTCTTCCTCAGGAAGGAAAAATCTGGGATCATCAAGCCCAGCTTTCAGATACCAGCTTGCCAGTCTCCTGTGCTCTTTCATTAACCCACGGTTCTATAAAACTCCTGAAGCCTGAACAAATTAAGTCACCTCACAGAGATTCCCTAGGGAAACAGCAACTATCAAAGGGGGGTTTGACTTCTCCAATTACAGATCTGATCCCAAAATGCAGCTGCACATCCTGGGCTTACGGGGTCTGATGGGGCAACTCCAATGCATGATATGCAAACAAAACAAGGTGAGTCCAAGACTCAGAAACTTCCACTCAGTTGGCCACAGTGTTCCCCGGTCTTCACGGACCGGTGTGCTGTGCAGGCCCTGATGGAAGGCAGAGACGACTCACCTCAGTGCACTGTACCCCTGGCACACACTGACGCAGCACAGGACCTTCTCTTGGTTTGCCTGAGTCTCCCCCAAGTATTTGCACACGATGTTACCACCCAGGCTGAAGCCCACGACGACCAGCTGGGTCAGGGGATATGTCTTCTTGATGTAGTTCACCATGGCTCCAAATTCCCAAGTGCAGCCTATGGGCAAAAGGGTGAGGTTGCTCAATCATTTCAGGTGCAGCGTATCTGGAGAAAATTCAAGCTGGAAGGCTACTAAATGGGTGCCAGTACGCTAAGAGAGAGAAAAATATATATGTGTATATATCCATGTGTGTGTGTAGGAGGGGAGAGAGAGAGACACTCAGACACTGCTCTCTGGCTCTCCAGAGAGTGGTTCCCAGATGCGCCTTGGGATAAGAGGAAATGGCCTCAGCAGTGCCCAAGAGCAGAGGTACTATGTATCGAATGTACAACACTTCTTAAAAGGTAGGTCACAAGAACCCTGTCTAAATACTTATGGATATCAAAGCAGATTTCAGGGTATGCAGGAGCACATATGTGCACACACAGATTTAAATAAAAGCAAGACCAGCCTGGGCAAAATGGCGAGACCTCGTCTCTACAAAATAAAAAAATTAGCTGGTGACAGTGGTATGTCCCTGTTGTCCCTGCTACTCAGGAGGCTGAGGCAAGAGGATCCCCTGAGCCGGGGAGACAGAGGTTACAATGAGCTATGATCACATCCCTGTACTCCAGCCTGGGTGACAGAGTGAGACTCAGGCTCAAAAAAAAAAAGTAAATAAATAAATAAATAAATGCAAGAGCAAAATCCTTTGAGATTGGCTTCCTAGGCTATAAATTGGGATGCTATACCCATGTGTATGATGATTCATGTTGTTAAGAAAAGTAGCAAGTGGATGTTATTTACAGGATCTTCTTGTCAGTGTTGGAAAGGAGAGGAAAGAGGAACTTCAGTCTAGAGGGACTGCCAGGATGCTCTGAGGATTAGGGTAAAACGTTCTTGGTGACGTAGGTACAGGGTGCCAAGGGAGGCAGGCTCATTCAAAAATACACAGAGAAGAACTCTGAACAGAGAGGGTGTTTAGGCCTTGTTTGCCCAGGAGGGACGATCTCAGCTGGTGTACGCTTGGGAAGTTACGGAAGCCATGTTATGTCTCAGCAACTTTGCTAAGAGGAGGCGGTGAATGGCGTATGTAAGTGAAGGGATTCATCACATCCTTCTAAGGCCCAACCCCAAACTCTGTAGGGAGCCAACTTAAGATCTCACAGGGAATGTTAGGGACGTCAACACAAAACACACACACAATAGACTGGTATGAGAAGAGTACGGATTTACAATGGAAACAGGAGTTGCCGACTTTGGCATCCCTAATAGAGTTGAACAGTTCCTTCCCTAATCATCAAGGCATGGGGGACACTATCATTTGAACCTGGGGTAAACTCCCCTTAGACCCGTCTTCCTTTTGTAGTAGGATGTAGCCCAAACCAGGCCGGCACAACCCCATGCAGTTCTTAAGCTGCATAGCATCACCTGGAAAGGGCGTTAGAAATGAGCATTCCTGGGCTTCAACCCCAGAGAAGCTGATTCTGTAAGATGGGGGCCAAGCCCAGGAATCTACAGTGAATTAATTCATGCCCATGATAGAAAATTCAGGCCAGGCGCGGTGGCTCAAGCCTGTAATCCCAGCACTTTGGAAGGCCGAGGCGGGTGGATCACGAGGTCAAGAGATCGAGACCATCCTGGTCAACATGGTGAAACCCCGTCTCTACTAAAATGACAAAAAATTAGCTGGGCATGGTGGCACGTGCCTGTAATCCCAGCTACTCAGGAGGCTGAGGCAGGAGAATTGCCTGAACCCAGGAGGCGGAGGTTGCAGTGAGCCGAGATCGCGCCATTGCACTCCAGCCTGGGTAACAAGAGCGAAACTCCGTCTCAAAAAAAAAAAAAAAAAAAAAAAAAGAAAATTCAAATGCTGTAGAAGATGGTGTGAAAGGTAAGTCTCCTATATTCTTTTTAAAAAAATACCAGTGGTAACTCATTTTTTCCCTTTACAATATGTCTTGCGATATTATGCATCCATACACTCGAAGCTGCCCTATTCTTTTTACTTTTATTTTAAATGGGGTATAACATGCCTATAGGAAAATGCACAATCAATGAAGTTTTACACATCTATACCCATGGAAGTACTGCCCAGATGAAGATGCAAAATATTTCTGACACCCCTGGCGGTCTCCTCATGTCTCTTCCCAGACAACAACCCCTGTGCTTTTGATTAGTAAGCACAATCTGGAAGTGCTGGGGGCTCCCAAGGCTTAGAAAGGGCTTAAGCAAAAGACGTTTAAAACGAAGGAAAAAAACTGGGCCAAGAGCTGCTTCCTCCTAAACAGCAGGACCCAGGCACCAACTCTGAGAAGCAGCTGTCTCCCTCTCCAGTGACATAGTAGAGGATCCAGTTGCCTATTTTTCTCCCTCTTGCACCCAGCAGACGCTGGGGCAGTTTGCAGTCTTCAATAAAGAGTTGCTGAAGTGAGTGGATTCTGATGACAAAGCCCCTGAATGGGTCCTGAAGACAGGGAAGAACAAAAAGCTGGTCAGGAGGGCCCTTCAACTCTTCATTTTGGAATGTGAAATGCCAGACTGTTGTCCCCACTGAAGTCAGATTCATTCAAGTTTCTCTTTTTACTTTTTTTTTTGAGACAGAGTCTTGCTCTGTCACCCAGGCTGGAGGGCAGTGGCGCAATCTCGGCTCACCACAACCTCTACCTCCCAGGTTGAAGTGATCCTCCTGCTTCAGCCTCCTGAGTAGCTGGGATCACAGGTGTATATCACCATGCCTGGCTAATTTTTATATTTTTAGTAGAGACAGGGTTTCACCTTGTTGGCCAGGCTGGTCTTGAACTCCTGACTTCAGGTGATCTGCCCGCCTTGGCCTCCCAAAGTGCTGGGATTACAGGCGTGAGCCACAGTGCCGGGCCAAGTTTCTCTTTTTAAGAAGGTAGCGGTGGAAGGAATATTATGCCTCCAGGGAATGCTGGATTTCAAAATGAAGCTGTGATGTAAAAAAGGGGATGTACAGACAAATAGCTGAGATCACAATGAGCAATTAGCTGATATCAGCTTCTACACCATGCAACAAATAAAAAGTTTAAGCCGGGCGCGGTGGCTCAAGCCTGTAATCCCAGCACTTTGGGAGGCCGAGGCGGGTGGATGACGAGGTCAAGAGATCGAGACCATCCTGGTCAACATGGTGAAACCCCGTCTCTACTAAAAATACAAAAAATTAGCTGGGCATGGTGGTGCATGCCTGTAATCCTAGCTACTCAGGAGGCTGAGACAGGAGAATTGCCTGAACCCAGGAGGCGGAGGTTGCGGTGAGCCGAGATCGCGCCATTGCACTCCAGCCTGGGTAACGAGCGAAACTCCGCCTCAAAAAAAAAAAAAAAAAAAAAAAAAGTTTAGAAATCCCATTGGAGACATTTGTTCACCTCCCTTGGGCCATTACAGACCCTGAGAATCGGGCCTTAAAGGAGCAGCCTGGCCTCATGGCTAAGGGAAAAGGCTCTGTGGCCAGACGGCTTGGGCCTACCACTTAGTGGCTTCAAGTGTCCCCAGCTTCTCTTTGATGACAAGTAACCCCTGTCTGTATACAAGGACAATCTATAGCTTTCAGTCTCCCTCCTGGAGGCTTGCAGTGCACAGGAACAGGATGAGGCCTGGGAACGGAAACTTCCAACAAACAGCCCAGGCAATTTTTATAGTGAGGAAACTGTGCAAAATATTGTTACCCTGGGTATGTTACCAAACTCTCCTAGGTCTGTTTCATCATCTGTAAAATGGAGGTAATAACAGTAAAAACTCCATAGAGTCGTTTAGAGATCTGCATAAAGTGATAAACAGCTTAGATCAGGGTCCACAGCATAATAAGCATTCAGTGTTAATGGCTATAACTGACTCTAATTATTTTTTCTGTTAAAAATATGTAAGTATACCCATGTTTATAGCAGTATTATTCACCACAGCCAAAAAGTGGAGCCAGCCCAAGTGTGCCTTGATGGATGAACGGATAAGCGCAATGTGGTACGTGTATACAATGCAGTATTACTCAGCTTTAAAAAGGAAGGCCATCCGTCACATGCCACAGCATGGAAGAACCTTGGGGACATTACACTAAGTGAAATAAATCAGTTGCAAAAGGACAAATACTGTAGGATCTACTTATGTGACAATCCTGGACTAGTCCAATTTACAGATGGAACATAGAATGGTGGTTGCCAGAGGCTAGGGAGAGGGGATAAGGATTTTGTTTAATGGGTATAGTTTGTTTTGCAAAATGAAAACTTCTGGAGATTGGCTGCAAAATGATGAATATAGTTAACACTACTGAACTGTACCCTTAAAAAATGGTTAGGATGGTAAATTTTGTGTTATGTACATTTTATCACAATTAAAAAAATAAACAAGAATGTAGCTTATCTACATTTTAGGGTTTCTCTAAAGTCGTGTTCTTCAACCTGATTGTACATTAGAATCATCTGGGAATTTTTTTTTTAAGCAGGAAAAATATTTATTATAGGTTATTTAATGGCTTACAGAATCACCGAGAGAGTTAAAGAAGTAGCCTCCAAGCCAAACACCTGGGGATCTTCTCAAACCACCATACTAATGCCTGGGCCCTCCCCAGCATAATTAAATCAGAATGTCTGGGGTGGGATCTGGGCTTGGGTGTTCTTTTACAAGCCTTCAGGTGCAACCAGGACTGTGGAGCACTGCTCTAAGGAACAAGAATCTCTCCAGCTCAGACCAATATAAGACGGCATTCTTTGAGTCACCCTCTCACCTGCCTCTGGGCCACCCCTTTTCATGCTCCCTTTCCTTTCTACTTGCAGTAAGCAACCTTCACAGATGGGGGTGCTGCTTAGCCTTTTGGAAGCTTAGCCTGGTAGCAGCTTTCCAAATATTTCCTCAAAGCAAGGCTTCCACAGGTAAAGTGCATCCCTGTTCAACACAACTAGGTGCTTCCTGTGGATCCACTAATGCCTAACAAAAACAAACTTTAAATCCTTTAAACATATGTAATTGCTTTCTGGTAATCTTTCCTGTAAAGAGCGAACTGGAAAAGCTACACGCAGGTTAAATATCACTGCAAGAATGATGCTCTAGCTCAGTGGTTCTC